TGTTGTTTACCTGTACTAAAGCCTGAACAGCATGAACTTGTCCGGCTATCCTTAAACGATCATCTCCATCTTCACTATAGAAGGAAGAGTCAAAAGAACAGGAGGTTTCCATGTTGACGAGACAGTGCCGATTCCGAGCACTATACTCCACTAGGTTTATCAGCAGACCTAAGCCCTTAAAAAACAAAGATGCAAAATTCACAGTTGAGAATTCCAAAGAAATACATACTATTTTTACAGACAGAAATTTTAACCATTGCTTTACCATCTGTGAAGTGGTCAAAGATGATCATCTTCTACAGAACTTTAGCAGTGTTAATCGCCACTTTTTATTTCTACATAAGGACTTTAATTGCTCTCTTTCATACAATAAAAAGTAGGCTCATGAGGAATTCACGGGAGCAAATGACTGCACAACAAAGCATTGGTTCTTAAACTCAAAATTAAGATTACATTTTCCTCATCTTACGAGATAAAATATATACATTAAAAATAGGTACTTCAAACTCACCAGCACTCGAATATCAAATCTCTGCTCCTGAGGTAGGTACTTTGGAACCTGAAGCACACAATTCATTGCTGTGCCGATCAAGCCATCCTGCTCCCCTGTCTTGGTGCTGCCCCACTCTGAAAGATTGGAGGGCAAACAGAATGCTTGTACTAATTCTTCCTTCCGATATTAAACAGCCAGCATTTACTAACATGGTGAGACAATTATTGAGAAATTAGTACTATATAGTTAGTCTTTTACTGAATTACTCTGTTGCCTCTTTATGTACTTTCCAAGCCAAGACATTGGGTCCATTTTGAAAACTGGCAGTTGAATTTATAAACGAGTGAGGCAATTTGAACACTCAATTATGAGTGAGGAGGCAGGGGGTGGGTGGGATGCATGCGAAGGCCATGCAAATATTACTTACCATTATCATTAGTTAAATTGAGCAAAACCCCAATGATGGCCCGCATGCAGTCTTCCACTGCTTTGCCCACATGGCTAGTTACATTCTGGAGAGGCAGAGGCTTACTGTCAGGTAGGCATATACTGTTTGCAGCACGGTTGTACTGCTGAATCAACTCTTCACAATGTTGTAATGCTCTTAAAGAGAAGATAAAATGGAGGCCATTAAGTTCAATAAGTTATCGAAAGAATTTCTATTTACTTTGGTTTTATGTTTTAAGTGTTATAAATGAGTTCAGATTTGGCTGCCTTTGCTGCCACCACCATCCCCACACTACCAGACTGCAAAAAATTAAGCCGTCAACCTCCAATTATATCTAATATCTAACATTACACACCCTGGGCGCTCCATTTAATCCTATATTGGAAATACTCAACAAATGTCTACGTAAAGATAAAATTACAACCTCAAGCAGAAGTTTTGCTTGTATCTGTTCAGTTCCCTCGTCCAGTATTTTAGTTTATGCTACCAACTCTCTCCAACATAACAGACCCGCAATAGTTTTGCCTAAATAAGAGCTAAGAGCTGCCGCTACCTCACTTTAACTGTCTTCATGTAGACGATGTGATCTTAGCAAGGCAGACAGC